TTGTATGTCTGGTGCATGTGAAGTAACTGACAATAAAGCTGACTTTGACTTTGACTTATAATGATGCGAAGATAATTAACATTCATGGGGCGGTGAGGGACCTGGATAACGAATAAGGGGGCGCTGGCCTCTTTTTTGAAATTATGTTTAATTGTTTAAAGTTGGTTAATGTTTTCAGTGTGTCCTGTTGAAATACCTGTACAATGGAATGTAAAACCGAAGCTAACTACCTTTGAGTCTTTTTATTGGATTTGTTGTTTATAAGAAAAATCGATCACCAGACAAAAAAATAATCTATCTCATTTCAAACATTAAAGGGTTATTTTGCTTTGCACGAAGATTAGATATCATGCATGCAAAACCATTTTCTTTATGTGCAGTGATTTTGCACGTTGACACAGAAGAAGTGTGACTTGTCCAGTATCGACTTGCAGGGTAAGGGGGCGGAGCTGCTCTGTGACTCTGTGCAAAGGGCAAAGCTTCCCCTTCAGCCTGAGCAGAGCCTTCATGCAGCAGCAGAACAAACACATTCCTGTTGGAAGACTGAGACAGAGACATTAAAGTTCCTTTCACGCAGGCTCGGAGGAGATGGCTGAGAAAAAAGCCATCTTGTTCAACTTCTGGGGAGTTGCAGTCTCTTCCAGACCACATGCTGTTTTCCACAAGCTGGAGGAATTGCATAACCTTCCAGGGTAAGAGCCTGTTACAACACCCAACTGTGAACAGTGAGCTGTCTGCTGAGCAATTTAACCTGCTGTCCACATCAAATTAAAGGCATTATTTCTCTAAAATGCATCCTACATTCAAATATATAGAACATGGCAGAGAGTCATTTGAGTAGAATATGCAGCTGTGGCAAAGGTTTTATAAATCTTTATTAAAAATACAATAAATTCAAGTTTCTTCCAGTGATTCAATGGAAGGAAAACCACTAAACCACTAAACCTAAGTAGGATTTCATTTTAAACTGCTGTCACTCTTTAACACATTGTGCAATTGGAAACAAGTTTAAACTGCAGGTAGTGACACATGGACAAAAGTAAACGGACAGAGGAACCTGAAATCAGATACAAGCTGGATTTCAGCAGCACAGTCTGATTTATACGTTATTGTAGAATAAAACTGCAAAAGAGATTTTACAGATTGTCTCACAGTTCAGTTTATTGTAAACACTCTTAAATGATTATATGAGCACCAGTAGCACCGTTTACATCCACTAGTAACCATCAGCTTCCTTCTGTATTTTTAACAGCTTTAAATGTCAATTTCAAGTTTTTACTGACTTCCTAGAAACTGGAGTTCAGTCCTCACTAACGCTGTAAACCCTTCCTGATATTTACATAGTGTCCTTTTATTGTTTGTGTCTCTGTGGTCTTCAGTGGTTTTCTGTCCAGTGTGGCGTCTCAAAAGGACGGCGCCATGAGCCGGGCGGAGAGAGGTGAGATGAAGCTTTCTCAGGTGAGTTTTAGGACTTAACATCACATAGTGATTATTATTACAGATATTGAGATATGATTCATTATGTGATAAGGATCATTTTTGCCTCACATATTTAATTTTCACTGAAAGAAAACAAATTAAAATCATGAAGATGTGACATTTGAAGATTTGTAGGTCACAGCGTCTCTGCAGAACTACAGGATTTAATTATAACGCTCTTTGTCACATTTTACCTTTTATCAAAAACATTTGCAGCTTTTCCGATTTGCATATTGCACTTGGCCATAATGCGATTTCGATAATATTTCGATTAACTGTGCAGCCGTAGTCAAAATCCTCTACTATTGATTCACTGTTTACTTCAGTTCTGTCTTCTGTTACTGATTGTGACTTAATAGAGAAATCCTGCTTCAAGTATGTGAGGCACTATTTGATCACATATTCTTCCACACAGTGAGCTACCAACTGCTCTTATGTCCTCTGTAGAAATAGATGGGCCCCTTTACTGCCTTTTTCATCCTTGAAACTCTGTTGCTGTGTGTGTGTGTGT